AAAAAAAAAAAAAAAAAAAAAAAAATTATTAAAAGAGCGGCGCGCGACTGTCCGTTTAGAGAATATCTCACGCGTTTGTATTATATACGTCATCATATATATATATATATATATATTGTATATTGTATATTGTATATTATTATTGTATACGTATATGTAGGTAGGTACGCATTTTATAACGCACTTGCACGCGCGCGACAGGGCCCAGTTTTCAAACGGGGTAATGACTAGTGAAACTCTATAATGTTATTATTATTATTATTATTATTATTCTCGGTGTACCCGTAATAGTAATAATAATAATAAGCCAACGTCGCCGTCGTGTACGTATACATGCGCATATTATATTATATTATATACGCGCGCGGTGTTTACTACGCCTACTCGAGAAATTCTATGGATGTTTGTGCGTGTGTCTCGTCGAGCGAGATTTCGTAAAAAAAAAAAAAAAAAAAAAAAAAATAAATAATAATAATAATAAAAAAATACACACGTATAATATTATAGGTAGACGTATACCTATACGTATTCAATATAATAGCGTTACGAGCGCGCGGTATACACACGCGCAGTACCCGCGACTACGCTACTGAATAACACCCGAGTCCGAAAACGCATTTACCGGTGGCGCGGCGCACTTCACACCTATGCGAGGCGACGGCGGCGGCGAGGTCGGAAACCAGACGCTCCTCTATAAGCATAATAATATAAATATAATACGACGACGACGACGACGACGACGATGACGACGAAGACGACGACGGCGTTGTAATAATGCGTATATAGGCTCCGGAAAGATCGGTATGGAACTGGTTTTTATCTCACTCGCTCTCTCTCTTTGCCTCTCTCTCTCTCTCTCTCTATTTCTCTATTTCTCTATCTACATATCTCCGCTCGCTGCTCCCTATCTTTTTTTTATCTAATTTACCACCGGTGAAAACGGTATCGACGTGTGAGGTAGCCGCGCGCGATTATTCAAAAAAAAAAAAAAAAATACACACATAATGATATATCGTCCGAACGATTTTCGACGTTTAGATACGCCGCGTGCCTAAATTCGGTAAACGGTATTCGGTACACGCCGCACGGCCACCTACTATATACCGCGTAGCGCGAGAGCTGTTTGCGCTACTTAACGGCAAAATACTGTTCATCACGCCCGTGACATAATATAACACAACACGTTACAGTGTAGCGTGGGATGGCCGCGTGCGCAGCATTCGACGACAATTATTATTATATCTAATACGCATTACGTTTAAATAATAATATGAGACGTGACACGGACGGCCCCGTGTACGATGACGAAACCAAACATTGGCGGCGGACAAGATACGACGGGGAGCCGTACGACGTGGTCCGCGCGACACCAATGCCTCATAATCACTCCGGCCAGCCGCGACGAATTCCATCGAATACTGTTTAAGGGCAAACGCTTACCTGTACATGTCAAGTGGCTGGGTCGTACAACGAGAAGAAGAGAGAGGAAGAGCAGCTTCACTAGAACGGAAACCTCGGGCGAAGACACCTTGGGCCAAGGAAAACGCGGACGGACGCGGTCGAAGAGCACTCCGGAAATATGGGAACGGATAAACGACAAAGAGAGATAGTCCGAGACGGGGACAGACACGGGCCCAGCTCAAGAGGCGGCGATGTAGGCCTGCGCTTAAGGCGACGTTTTTCAGGGGTGACGTTTTAAATGTTTGACGTGGTATTTACATGCGTAAGGGGCGACTAAATTTAAATTTACTTTAGGTGCGTTTATACGTACGCTCCAGCCAGACCTGGATATAGATACGAGTATACGAGAACCATGTTTCGATTTTTTTTTTTTTTGTTCAGTGCTCTATTGGACGGTTTTTTTTTTAAAGAACATACAATAAGTGGAGTAAAAATGGAGATCAATTGGAAGAAATCGGGGTGTTCGGAAACGATGTTGATTTCAAATTAATACGTTCAATTATTACCATTGTTTACTACAATATCACGGCTTCAATACCATTATGTTTTGATAATAGAACTGATATTATGAACTTTTGAAGATATTTTCAAAAAATTGATATCATTTTTGATTATTGCGATTAATTTTCATCACGCCACGTCTAGAAGCCCACAAGTCAAAGCATAATGATATTTCCATGATAAATGAACATATTTACTTGACATTATAATAATTTTGACAGCGTACTTTTCAAGTAATGTAGACAGAATATCGATGTTTGAATTGAAAATTTTCTATCAATTAGAGTTTGGATTTCAGGTGATAGCATAGAAAACAAAAAGCAAAATGAAATTATACGTGCAGTATTACTTACAAATCATAGAACTTGCCCATTTTGTTTACTCCAGTTGACCTCATGTCGTCAAAAATTCGTATTTTTCAAAAGACAATAAAAGAGTTTTATTTCTATAAACAAATTTATTTCTTATATTTTTTTAATCTTAGATTAAGTTAAATCGTTTTAAGTTTTAATTCGTTCATCGTAATATATAATATAAACAAATTATTTAGACCCATGTTATAAAACTGTTAAGTTAACCTTGTGCACGTATTATGAATATTATTAGTTATGACTTATCACTTTTCTCGCAATATTTTAATACTCGTATAGATCTATGAATACTTGCCATAGCAGTAAGAATAATCGTAAGACTTATCACGTTTATCGCAGTTAAATATTGATTTGTCTCACATTCATTTCTCACGGCAAATATTTATCTGTAAGCGCTACTATTAAACGTGACACAAAATCTCCTACAGAATCTATAAGCGAAAAATGTTAAATATGACGTACCTTAATCACGTTTCTTACAAAAACCGTTAATTTATGTTCGATTAGTGTAACAGATATTCGTTTGGGACTCAGAACTTATTGCACTTAAAATTCACAAAAAACCACTTAAAAACGTCAAAAAAGCCTTGAAAAAAATCACTTTAAGCAAATATTATTGGACCAAATGGTTGAAGGGTTTTAATGTTCCCTGACTAACGACTTTAAATTATTGTATATAATTTTTAACACGACACAAATTATTAACAAAAAGTTATTTTTTTTTTTATATATAAAATTGTACGTATTATAAAACAAAATGATTTGAATAGCGTTGGAAAATTGTATTTAATATGTTAAAGCCATATGATATACGGTGTAATATAGATCTCGGGTAGAAAAGTTGTCCGCAGAAAAGATAAAAAAAAAAAAAAACGTTTTCCCCCGTGTTCATAATTGATAAACGGCGCACGGACGTCGCCTACAAATAATAAACTCATACGCGCGTTAATGTTACAAATATTTCGACGATCGATACCAATCAACCCGGGTTAGGTAAGAAACGCGCCCGATATTACGCATGCTGTATAATAATATAATATACGGGATTATGTAGGCTATACGAAACAAGACCGAGACGCTGCGTTCGAAAATATGTTCCAACGTTTATTATTATTATTATTATTATTATTAGGTATTAGGTATTATAAGGGAACGGGAGAGTTGCCGAAAAAAACTCGCCTCGTTTCTTTGATGTGCACTTAATATTACGCTGCGGCCGACGGAATGATTAGCGCGTGTACATTTAAGGGCATCGTGTACGTTATGTTTGATTTCAAAGATAATAATATACCCGTGTATACGCATGGTATATGTATATATTTTAATCGGTGTTGATTTTGAGTAGGACGATGAAAAAAGCGCGGAGATCCGGAGATAATATACACGCACACACGGGCGCGTAAAAATAATTAACATCATCGATATAATCGTACTCGTATAGTTTTGAGATGTGAAAAAAAAATATGAAAATTGTGGACAATCAAGTTTCGACTGCCGCGACGGGCATGCGTGTATTACGATAGAGCATGCGTCGCCGGACGTTACAAGGGATAGGTGATCGTAATTATTATTATCGGCCAAAGACCAAATTATACGACGTGACGACGGCGGCGGCGTGTCCGTTCAACAACAGTGAATCGATATTGGCAACGGGTAGGCCACCGTTTTAGACGGATAACCGAGAAGCTACATGATGTAGACGGAATTATTAGTGAATATAGGGTAATTTAGTGTACTGGATGAAACGATAATCCATCGAGAAAAAAAAAACGATTCTGTGAGAAATATTTTATTAGTCACGGTTTTCTCTTATGACCTAGGGAACCCGGTGGAAATCATAAATAAAAAAAAAAAAAAAGAAGCTGTTCTATGCTAACGGAGGGAGACGGGTGCAGCCACTGTTGTAAGTGGGAAGTTAAGATATAGACGGGAGTTTAATGTACAGAAACGATTAACCATCGTTAACGAAAAAAAAACCATTCCGAAAGGAGTTTGTTTTGCTTTGTCAACAACACATGCATGTCATATTTTGGTCAAATAATTACGTATGCATTAAACATTTTCTTTAAAAATGATGTACCTATTTTTCCGTTCTCTCGTTTTTCCGGTTTTTCAAATTTATTGGGAAAACTCCTGAGAAAACCAAAAAATGACCATCTTACACTACCATCTCAGTCGGGTTTCCTTTCAAAAAAACTGATATCATTAAAAATCGGAGCAAAATTTATGATAGAAAAGTTGTCTACAGAAAAAAATAAAAATCATTGTAAAACCACAATCTTCGCTCCATTCAGAATCTAAAAAAAAGGACGTGAGAAGTATTTTGATGTTAATTTCGATAAATGTATCAAAATAAAGCACTATGCCGGAGAAAATACATGTTTTATATTAATGTATATAATATACGTATGACATGAAATATAATCGGAGCATTTCGAATAAAAAAAAATATATATAATATTGAAAACTGATAACTTTCTCACCATACTCGTATTCATTGAGGTCAACTTTTGATTTTCCAAGCGGTTTTCATCATAATTGTGAAAAACCGGAAAAAAAATGTTTAAAAAAAACCATTAATATTTACGTGGTTGCGGATTTGCATATTTCAACATTTTCATTTTTTTTTTCAATTTGTTTTTCTATACCAGTGTAATTCATAATTCAAATTTCAAGAGGAGCATCTTTTATAAAAATAATTTTTTTCAAATTATTGGTTAGAAAGTGATTTTTTAAAGATGCCGTTACTATTGAAAATCGGAACAATTCTGGTAGGTAATAAAAATCGGCACGCAGTAAATATTTGTCGGTTTTTCTAATTTTTTCAAAATCGCTTGAAAAATTTAAGAGTGAACGATTCAACAAGATCCAAATACTCAATTAAAATGGTCAGTTATCATTTTGCGATTTTAATAAAATTTCTAGTAGAAACCAGTCTGCCGACAGGTGAAAAAAAATAAAACCTTTATTTCTGTAAATTTTCCGTTTTTCCTATGATTTTTTCCGAATTATTAAGAAAACTAAATAGAAAATTAAAAAATTGTTTTCTTACACACTAACTGGAAAACATTTTCTTTCGGAATAGGTTCTTATATGAATTTTGGTACGGGAACTTTAAGATTCGCACACGAATCTATTTATTATTATTGTTTTTTTAAAAAAAAAAGACGTGCTTCGCACGATGTGTGAGCCCCTGTTGTAAAAGAAGTTAGAAAGATGGCGGGAAAACTGAATGCATATTTTTATGCATAGATTAATTATTGCTAACGAAAAACGATTCTGAGCTGTTGAGTTCGGTTAGGTTAGGTTACATGTTTTTGAAAGGCCGTAATATTTACGATTTGATAATAATAATTTTCGTAAGTTTTCCCGTTTTTCTCATTTATTATAAAAATTCCTGGGAAAATGAAAAAAATTGCCACCCCAATCAAATTTTCTTTCAGAAAAGATGTTAAATTTGAAATTCGGAGCAAAATTTCTGGTAGAAAAATTATTCACAAAAAAAAAAAAAATAAAAAATAATTATAAATAAATAAAACATTATTGTAAAACCAATGCGTCCCTTGCTCCGCTCAGAATCTAAAAGCATTACGAGAACTCGTGTATTTTTTAACATTTTTCATGATAATATTATCGTCGTTGTCGTTGTTGTGCGGCGGTGGCTGTGCGGTATTGACGGATTATAATATTATTATTTTGTACGGTCGCCAACGCCCGAGAAAATGGTCCGGCCGGCTCGTATATTATCATTATTAGAATACGCGTGTCAGCTTCCATGTCACAACAACAATATAACGTGCCGTGATGCTGTGCGATGTATACAGCGACTTTTCTCCCAGGTTCGCCCACGAAATCCGCTGCCCGGACTCCGTCACGCGTATTTACCGCGAACGACAATCGTGCGCCACCACCGCCACGCCGCCGACCCGGCCGGACGACGGCCCCGGACCGTTTTACGGATTACTATATTATTATCGTTTGAATATTATAATATAATTTAATACAATATAGGCTTTGTTCGGAACCGTCGATTTTAGATTCTAAACGTACCGAGGAATGTATTGGCTTGACCGTATATGATGCAGTGCAGTGGAGGTCTAGCCTCGACAATAGCCTTTGTCAACAATTCTCGTGAAATAGGTAGGTACAACTAAACATTATACCCTTTTTTTTTACTCTTTCTAAATGAGTAATTAACGAATAGCAATTCTAAAAAACAAAAATCAACTTATTACTTAAATAAAATTGTAAAATCTATTTAAATTATTGATTCTGTTAAATCTAAAGTGTAGTTCATAAGCTGTAGTTTTCTGCAAAAAATCATGATAATAAAGTCTAATAATTTTAAAAACAATCGATTATTTATTTTATACCTGTTATGCTCAATGGCCTCTTTTAATTGGGTTTTTATAATTATAATAAAAAATAATAAACTTGAGTGAAACAAATATATTTATATTCACTTTAATTAATAGCTTTATTATTACTTTTATAAATGTATAATATATAATTAATATATTCCATTTTACACTATATTTGTATACATAAAAAAAAAAAAATATTTGCTTATGTCAATGAATGTTGTCCATGTTGATCTTCTCTAAGCCACTAAATTTCTTGCATGAGTAAACTGCCATTGAACAATGTATTCAAATTTTGAATCAGAGACAATATGTAGTTTTTTAAAATGCGTATTTCAAAAATGAGCTAATACCTTTATATTATTTAAATTTAAACAAAGAAAATATTAAACAACTAATTTTGCTTCATTTGTATCTTAATCTATTTGAAACAAATTATTTATAATAATAGTAAAAAATTAAAAAAACTTTAGGCGAAACAAACTAAATTTAAACAAAACATTTAAATTGTAACTAAAAAAAATCTATCTAATAAAAAATGTAACTATCTACTTTAATTAATACCTTTACTTATTACTTTTGTATGATAACATAGTTCACATATTTTATATTGTTAAATAATATAAAATATATGTAAACATAAAAAAAATATCAATAAATAAAAAAAAAAAAAAAATCAATGTTATGTTAAACTATGTTGATCTTGCTCATGGAAATGAGTTCTAGCATGAGTAAACCATAATTGAACAATGTATTCAAATTCTGAATCAGAGCATTTATGTAGATTTATTATAACACCTAAGGAAAGAAAAGAGTAATATGTATTATTTAAATTGGTAGTGAAAAAAAAAAAAAACAATTAAAAGAACTAACTCTGCATAATTTGTATGATCAATCTTCCTTGAATTTTGACATATGATATGTTTTTCCGAGAACCCCGACCTGTCCATGAACATCGAATAGCAAATGATTTAGTGAATAAACTATTTAAAATACGACGTACATGATTTTTTTCGTTATCTCCACCAATTGCACTAAACATATTTATCTATAAATATAATACAATTTCACTGATGAAATATATTGTTTTTAGTAGAAAATTGGTCAAATGATTACAACAATAATACATACTAATTTATCTTTGATAGCAGTATCTTTCAACATATTTTCACAATGGTTTAATTTTTCAACACTTGATATTGGTAAAAGATGTAAAAACAATTTATCCATTGGATCCTGTGTTGTAAATATAGTGGCATTTGATTTCAAATTCGTAATTTCTTTTTGTAAACTATCTAACTTATTCCATAATTGGTCTCTGATTATACGGTTAGCCATTAACTCGGACTTAATATCTTTCAATTCACCTAATAGAATAATAATTCACGTATTATATGGAAAGGTTCATATTTGCACATATAAAGACAAAACTTTATAAAATATATGAAACCTAATAATTTTTATTTAAAATAATGTTATTCAATATAAGTGTCAACGTATATTTTAATAAATTATAAGTGAAATTAAATTAATACAGTTTAGTGAATACATATTATAATATTTCAATATTAGGGTTGACATTCAATTGACCTGTACAATTTCTTCAATTGATAAAAAGAATTAGACTGGTCAAAATTCCAACCCTAATTAAAACAATATAATTGATCACGTATTATAATATTATGTTTAAATAATTAAATATGATTTAAATATATTTAAGAGTTTAAAAAAATTACTTTTCATTGTGTCCCATTCTATTTTACTAGGCTGGAATATTGGTTTAGGGGCACTATTTAAAGTCAACACTTCACCTTGTAAACTTTCTGGGTGTAAATTATTTTGTATAGACTTATCCTTTTCAAATCTAATGCAAGTTTCCGTTCTTAATGGAACCTATAATTGTATTAAAAATTAATATGTGTAGTTTTTAAGATATATAGTATTAAATTATTGTATATTATTGACATTAAGTATTTATTTATTTTTAAGGTGTGTAGTCAAAATTTTAATTAAATCAATTGTAAAGATTGTTAGTTAATTTATACATACTCAAATTATCAAATTAAATATTTTATTAATCTCAAATTTTATGTAAGGGGTGTACTCAAGAATTTTGAATGAAAAAGAAGAACAACATGGTTTTTATTATTTATATTATGTTTTGTTATTATAAGTCCAATACATCACTTAAAACAGTGGTTTTCAACGGAGGGAAAGGGAAATCGCCCCAGGAATAATGTACTGATGATGAAATGACGAACATTTTGTTGTAAAATAACTATGCCATTTTACAATTAGTAAAATTTAAAACAATAAATTAATTTTAGTTGTATAATGTGTATATATAGGTATTTTGTACAATTTATTTAAAAAAAGGAAGTGCATACTTCACATGTGGATGCATCGTGAAGTTGAGAAGGTTGGATACAGATAGGAATATAATTTATATCTGTAAGCAACAATAAACTATTGCTAATGAAAAAACGATTCTGAGCGAAATTCAGCTGATAGTGTTAATTTGTTAACAATATTTATACCATATTTATGGTAACATGATAATTATGTGCATTTCCACAACAACAATGCTTGCTTAAAAAGTATTATAATAATAATAAAGACTTCATAATAACAAAAAATAAATAAAAATGGTTGCCAATGACAACCTTATTTTTAATATTTTTATCTTTTTTAGCCTAAAGAACCAGGTTTTATCATTATCTCAAATATGAATGAAAATTTCAAAAAATATTTAAAGTACCACCTAGAAAACATTTTCTTTCACAACTTGATAGTCAAAGTAAGCTTTCTAGTAAAAAGCGAGCACATAAAAAATAAAAATAAAAATCTTTGGCTGTAAAGACAATACATTCTTCGAATATAATCTAAAAATTTAATTTAAAAAAAAAGTTTGTCTAAACTGTAATAGCCTAATCTAATTTAAGAAGAGGGGGTGTGAGATTTTTGAAAATTTACCAGGAGGTGTAGAATAAAAATTGTTGGAAATTACTGACTTAGAACTATGAAGCCCCTTTTAATATATAATTAAAAGTATTATAATCATACCAAAATTCTAATTTCAATAGGAATCAGTACAAATATAATATTTAAATAATGAACAATTTTTGTAGCACAAACTATTTGTTTAATTTAGTAATGCAAAGACAAATTTAGATGGATTTTTAGACAGATCATTGAGTATTTCAGCTGAAAGTGGCACATCATTATGAAAAGTCAACATTGTCAGTTCGTTAAGTCGAGTTTAAAAAACATTCAAATACTAATTAACTTATCATTTTCAATATCAAATTATATTTTGAAAAAATTATTTCAGTCATTGTGTTCTTGAGTAAGTTTTCAGCCTTTTAAATATGAAAAATGTTGTTTTGGTGTTAGACTGTAGACACTGTTGGGAGTATTTACGACTGACACAAAAAAATCATTAGTATGTTTAGAAAATTATCTGATATCAGATACGTACCTATCTCAATCAAAATGAGTAACTATAGTTATATAGAAATAATATATTTGTATGCGTATGAAAATTCAAATTAGTTTTTTATACATACAAATATATACAACACTTATTAACAGAACTAAAAGTATTCAAAACCAATAAATTATGAAATAAACATATTTTTATACAGTTAAATCATTAATATTCAAATATTATAAATTTATATATCAAAATTGTGGATATTACATAAATTAAAATCTATAACTATATTACCTTTGATGTTGGATTTGGAAGGAAGTTAACATTACCCATCATATTATCATTACCAAACTGATTCATTCTTTGTGTAGGACAAGAAAATGTAGCGTCATTTAAATTACCACGTAGTGAACCAACATTTTGATTTGATATTGAATTTACACGAGTCACGTCCTATTAAAAAAATTATTAAATTCCTTAAGAATATATTTAATTTAAACTAGTACATAAAATTAAAACATTATGTGGTACCTATATTAGAAGTACTATTTTAAAAAGTTAAACTACCAGACAACAACCCCAATTAATTGTGATAGGAATAAAGATGGAAATGAAGAGACACATAAAATCATTATTCTGTTGCTGAAAGGATCAAGTTCAGGGAAATATCATTTAATTTAACTAGTAATATATAATTTATCAATTATATGATACTGACTATTTTTGATATAGGTACATTGGTTCTTCTATTATCATCATGATTAAATCTTGCTGTTAAAGAATAATTGCTCTCCAAATTATGAATATCGGTTGATCTCTGTAAAATGGTCGTTAATATTTAATTTAGAAAATTATATTAGTTTTAAATTTTTATATTTAACTACTTTAATGGTATATTGTTCCATATTATGATCTTGTAAAGAAATTGTACGATCTTCACCTTTATTCTTAATAAGAGAATGCATACTTTCAGAATCCAATAAACCAAACATTTCCAATAATTGTTCATTCGCTTCTTCCAATGAATCTAAACCAAAATAAATTATATTTGATCATGAAATATTTATATTCTTTAAAAAACAATTATATCATTGAAATATGTAATATATAAATATAATTGTGGGCATTGGTATGACTTGTGATCCACTGTTAATTTTACAATATTCTAGTGATATAGTGATACATCAAACACTATTTTTATTTGTTTATAATAATCAAAATGTCCAAAGTTTGTAGAAGAATCAATTTAAATGACAATGATTGTTTAATTCAGTTACAGTGAAACATTTTTCTTATAAATACAAATATTTGACAATCAATTTTTTACATTTCATTTTACTGTAATGTATTTGTGGATTTTTTTCAGTTGCCAAATATCTTTTAAACAAATTTTAGTTACTCTATTGTTTTTGATACAAGTAAGAGAATTGGAGTCCTCGGGTAAAACCCATGTATTAGTTATGTATAAAAATCGGTTCTAGATTCCAACTTGTTAGGTAATTTAATAAAATTTAGTAGCCAACACAATGAAAAATAGCGAGGAAACATAAGTTCATACATATTGTCACAAACTGATGATTATTTCACATTTTAAATTTTCATAGATAAATAAACCACATAGCACATCAATGCTTAGTTATGAATCTTTAAAAGCTACGCTACATAGTATCTAAAAATCATAAACATATAAAACTATCAGATAAGATGTATTATGCTGATAGGTACTTACCATAGTATCTATTGTTTGCTAATTTGAAATGATACAAAGAGTAATCTTCGTTTAAATGTATACTATTTTTTACAAGATTAGCTACATTTATTGATTTTTCATTTGGCCATTTGCAAACCAAACCATCTTGTTGGAACACTACCCAATGGGTAGGTACAATTGAATAACTTAATGTGTCATTCTTATTTAATCCTTCATTAGCACTTATGAAATATCCAATAGCCCATGACTTAAGAAAACAATAAACATACAACTATATTAATCATCAAATTTAATGCATTGAAATTACATAATATATAGGTGGTTATAAATAATAATGAAGGGCAACGATTTATTGTTTACCTATTTATAATATTATTAGTAAAAGTTAAAAACGTGATATAATATTTATACCACTTTCAAGTATATTTTAGTTATTCTTTATAGTGTCAGTAATGATAGTGCACATACTAAATTTTAATATACTATTATCATATAATTCGATCAAAGGTAAGGAAAAACTAAAAAAAATAATTTCATACAATATAATAAAGATTGGATTATGGTTAAAATGATTCTTGTAGTAATATTTACACCCAGATTTATACAAAGTCTACTACAACATTAATACATAATAATGAATTATAAATTTATCAACTGCTGTTAATTAGTTTGAGTTTACAATTAAATTGGAAATTATTTACTAAGCCATTATTCACTTTGAATAGTTAAATTATTTTTTAAAAGCCTGTAAGCTAACTTTATTCACCAGCCAAAAAAAGTTTGTGTAATCTAATAAACCAAAACATTTTAATGCGACCAAATTTAAATATAATATTACTGACAGAGTTGGTTATTTGATTTTTTTATATTTCAGGTTGTTTCACCTGTAATTTCTTGACTTTTTAATATAGGTTTCTATTTGAAAATTAAAATTAGATAGTGGTTTCACCTCCAAAAATAAAATAAAAATGTAAAATTGTAGAACTGCTTGTTAAAACAAATTAATATTTTCCAAGATATGTCTTTAGTGTCTTACGATAGTGTGATTACTCTGTATAATAATCGTAGATCTACACTAATAGTCTGGCCTTGCCTATAAAATAGCTGGGGTAGTGACCGGTCAGACATATTACGTGGTGTACAGTATAATCACATCAGTTTTGCCATTGTGTGTGCGTAATACAATGTACAATAAGACCACGTTAAAGTCACAAGTCACACGTGAAAAGCGCCCTCTATGACCGTTCTACGTGTACAAATGGCTGGTCTATTAATATAAAATCAACGATGATACACAACTTAAAATAATAAAATATAATTATGAAATATAGTGCGTTTTATTGTGCACATTTTATATGGACAATAAAATACTATAATTAGCTTACTACAGCGCTGGTATGGATATAATTACTATATAATAAAATACAATTTGTTTTAAATTTTTTGAACTAGACAAGTATTATAGGTACCTACTAAAGATTGGTTCACATAAATCGGGTTAAACGCTCTTCTAGCCCTAATAAAATATACGAATACTTTTATGAATCCTGGTCCTAGGTAGGTACCTACCTATAATAATCATTATAACGTAACAATACTAAGTAGACAATGAATATTATTTTGTATAGGTATCACATTACCGGTTTATCTGCATGGTACCTTATGGTACTCGTAGGCCGTGCGGTTTGTTCGTTGTCGCCACGCCACTCCATTGTGCTATTGCCTTTTAATATTGTAAATTATAACCACGTGGACACCACAAGTTTGAGTATACAAATATCAACGTAGATATATAATAACTTTACAAACTAAAAAGAAGCCTTATTTTTATTACCGATTATGCGCCGTGGGCTAAACCGACAAAATTTAACACTAAAATAACAATTAAAAATAAAAATAAAAAAAAAATGAAAAATAAAAGCGTAGAAAATATTGTGTCCACGCGGTAAGCCAACATGAAAATGCGCCGGTAGCTAGACCACACCACCGGAAATGAGCTCGTCGGAGTTCAGATAGCGATTCGCCTCGGTCCATCAAATTAAAAAACGGCGACGGTTCGGACGTTTCATTATCTTGCCACGGAAGTGCATAATATTATAATACTTAACCTCAAAAACACAGCAGCGTTCTTGGAAATAACATGTTGACAATTTTACACGTTTTCGCTGAAATGAGCAGGACATAGCCATAGATATCTAATAAAACAATCGCCAGGCATTAATAATACAAATTTATTTATTATCTATGTAGACAAGACGATAATATTATTACGAAACTTTAAAAATTCAGTGATAACTTTTTAAGGTTAAAATATGAAATTGATATTTACAATATTGCCATTTTGATTGGTATTATATTTTATTGATATTATGAATTCAGTATTATGTTCATTGATTACAATGATGATTGATGTAAACAATTTTTTTCATTCTTGTAAATAAGAATAATTATTTTGTTCGAACAATAGGTACCAAAAACTGCGTGCCTTCGAGATGCATTTTCGGATATTTACGTGCACTCGATTCGGTTGCTGATCGACAATTTCTAGTAATATCCTATTATTTATAGTATTTTAGATAGAAAATAGAACGTATATAGTTATAACATAATTTTCCGAATTTCCACACTGCACACAGTAAATCGTCAAAACGCATAATTATGATGAATTATTAATGGTACAAAATATATATGCTCGGTAAATCATTTTCAAATATTACCAATTCCTACCTATTGATAGTATAACAGAAAGTTAATATGGGAAAATGTCCGGTGGTTCGTGAATATTCCGTTGTCGGATCGAGAGTCGTCGAGTTAAAATAATAAATTCATATTATAGGTAGGTATAATAATAGTATCAGGCGAAGTAATTTAATTTTTTTTTTTTCTTCGTAAAATTCTCGTTTTCTGTTAGCAGTAGGTTTCCAGTTGGGCATCAAATATTTCACCGAAAATCGAGACCGATTTACGCCTCTCCTTCCAATCAACAATTATGCTACGGATCAGTGTCGGCCCGGGCATGGTAGCTAGGTAGCCATCGCTGCCCGCCCCTTCCCTGAATTTTTTTTTCGCTCATACATAGGTTTTGACGACCAGTCCATAGAGATACTGTTGATTTGATAATCTTATTTTTTTTTTTTTACATAAGTCGGCCCCCTAAATAAAATCCTAAGCTCTTTAGCGACCATGCCGACAATGTTAAGGATATATAATATTATATTATGATAATAATATGTAATTGAATTAATATTAGACACAGGGGTGTGCTCACGGGGGGGATGGGGGTGTCATATCCCCCTCATGAACTTTTTTTTTTTTTATGCATTTGTTTGAAGTTCCTTGGTAGTTTCGGTTTTCTCCGAAAAAAAAAAAAGCAGTACATAGTTGGTTTTAATTTTTAGCTATGTTAATCATTATCATAAATTAAAAATAGATTTAGTAGATACCATAGTAATAGTGTTTATCTATAGATAATGCATACGTAGTTTAAAAAATAAAAAGGTACCAATGGACTATCATAGTATTTCATAGTCCATTATATTCCGATATCTATGTTACAAACGCGACCATCGGCATATTAATATATTATCAATAGTATTTATAGTTTTGCAGTTTTTAGCTATGCTACAATAAAACTTTTATCTTTTGCCTTTTACTGTTTAGGCTTTTAAAAATATATGGATAACATGCAGGTTTCTTTTAAATGAAAAAAAAAGTGGTTTAAAATATTAGTATAAAAATAGATACGGTAAAAACTCGATTGACCGTCACATTCCGTTATCCGTCGTCGGTTACCGGCGATCGCGATAAACTCGTCGCGGCGACTATGAAGCGTATAAAAATAGTTTGTGCAAAACAAACGCAATAAAGTCGATAAACAATAATAATTGAATTGTTTTAAATTTGTTGAAGAAAGACGTTTATGACGACATTGACGATTCAGTGCTTGGCTTAAAACCGTCAACTAGCCACTCAGAAGCAGAAGCGATGTTATCAAAATGCATTGATTGGTGCGAAGTGCGAGAGTAGGCAAATGCAACGCAGGTCTTGTTACTTCGTAATATACGAAACACGGTTGCTCAAAAAGCTCACGCCTCCAAAGAAAACAGAAGAAGATCACGGATTATTTTGTTTAGTATTTTTTGAGTATGGTATTGCATATTTTACGTTAATAAATATTATATATTATTAGTATTCGTTATTTATCGCGTATTATTTTTGTCTGCAAATCGCGCGGTAAAATATTTACGTTTTATTTAAACGTTTCTGTTAACCGTCTATTCGATTAACCGTCATTGTTCCGGTCCCGACAGTGACGGTTAAACGAGTTTCTACCGTTTGCGCGTAATACAAATATAACTATACGTGTATTGACGTTGCAAGTTGTACCTGACCACCCCCCACTCCAAAAATATCAACGTGTGTGCCGACAAGTACATTTTGTAAATTCGTCAACATGATTGTCGACAAAACAGAAAATATAGTTCACCCCTCCCCCCTCCTCCGCCGTAGGAAAAAGTCTGAGCACGCCCCCGATTGGACGTCGCGGGCCATAGACACGCTGCGGTTGCGCTGCGCTGGCGTTTTACGTTCTGCGAACACCGGCCCGGCGCGTCTGTAGCCGCGATTCAAACCGGATAAACGTATAAATGCATGTAATATTCCGATTCGAGCGGCAAAACACGGTACAAATATTGTCTACCGGGGTGCCGTTGCGGCGAGCGCGTTTCGGTACGATTTGACGAGAACATTGCGCGCCGTTTTTTTTTCCCGCGGCTCACTGTGGGCACCGACAATAAAGAAACGGACGGGCCGCTCCTATAACGGTGCGGGGGGCGGCGAACGGAGACGATTTACCGTTCGAAAACCGTGCGCACGGGGCGAAACGCCGCGCTTCGCGAGACTCTCGATACGGAATGCCCACACCCGTCCCTCTCGGAACACCACCGACTAGGCGCGGATAGCCCGTCCGCGGCAACCTAACCGGAAGACCGGACCGCAGCCGGTCGTCGCGCAGCCGCCGTAGAGCCGCAGCCGCGGCCGCGTCGGACGCGGAGTCCCGCGTCCGCGTCGGTCCCACGGTCCCGCAATGACCGACGGTGTCTATTTCCGGGCGAGTAGCGTTCGCGGGGCGGAGGGGAGTGAGGGGAAGCCGCCGCGCAGCGCCCCGTCGTCGCGTTGTTACGCGCGTACCCGGCCGGCCGTCCACGACGACGCCGCGGATCGCCGCGCGGCACACACACGACACACACGCGCACACACGCACCCGGAACGCCCCGCGATTTATTTACCCGTACGATATTATACACGGACAGCGCGCGTTTAATACTATTATGCTATTATGTGGGCACCGGCCGGGTCTCGCGCGCACACACACCGCCCGACACCGGACACACGTATATTATATTTTATTTCGTTCTTTCTCTTTTTTTTTCTGTGTGCGTGTGTCTTTTTTTCCGCTTCGTTATTATATTGTTGTACGTTATATACCCGCGCGGTGTACGCGCGCAGTCTCCTCCCGCCGCCGCGCGGATATGTATTCCAATTACCGCGTGACTTTCCGACGGATGCTGGCGGTGCCGCGGTATACATACCTGCGCCGCCGCACAAAAACACAAAACATTAAACGGCCGCGGCGGCGGCGGCGGCGGTGTCCGACTGCGTCCCGGTCGTCCGTGTACAATAACATAACGTCCGTGCGCCGTGTGATTTACGCGTTTGACAACGGACCGTCTTTAATTGTGTTTATTTATCATAATGCGTATGCGCGTACACTCGCCTACGGGCGTACCGCGTGTACGGGTGTAGAGTGCGTGCGTGCGTGCGTGCGTGCGTGCCGTCCCTTCAAAAGAGACGGCCCGCGCCGCGTGTGTGCGTGCCGCGCGGTTATATTTTTGACTTTACGCGCGTGTGCGCGCCGGACACCGACACCGCGGTGCACCGACACCGACACCGCGTACCGGCAGTGTGTTAGCGCGCCTCTCGCATTGGCGTCCCGGTGTCGTTACGACGCCGCCTATATTATCGCAACGCCAGTGTTACGCCTAGGCCGCGCGCGCTCGACAATGCGACAGCGTTATTGTTGCGCGGCCGGTAGCCGTTCGTCGTCGTAAAACTGCTCATATCGCGTACGGTGGCCGGATGTTACAGAAAGGGCGGGGAAAATCGGGGAAAACGTGGGAACCGAGACCGGCGAGGCCCGTATCTGCGGGGCGGGGCGGTCGAAATTTACGACAGTTTTCCGTGTCGCGGTTACCAGTCATAACCGTTTCAGTGTGGAACGAACGTTGTACGTTTACGCCGGACGAATAAATATCACGCCGCCGTGTTCTTGTAGCGTATTCGGAATAATATTATGAACGTCGCGGCCGGACAGTCAATACGGCTTCGCGCGCTCCCGCAGTCTCGTGACAGCTATGAAAATTACCTAAGAAATGCAACCGCGGGAGAACACCGATTGACGTGCCCGGCATTCGCTCCGCGTACACATAGGAATACTGTTGTAGACCCAGAAGAAATTATTAATCGTTTTTCGGATGAAAAACTTAGAAATATAGTGTTTGTCATATACAGTGGCAAAACTGGGGGAGAAAGGTTGTGACCCCCCCCCTCCCCCCTTCCCCATGTTTGTGATTTTTTTTTTTTTTACGAATTCTACGTAGTGCGTAGTAGTGTGATATTCATATCAATTTGAAACATAATATTGTAACACCGT